ACACATGGCTGGAATCCTTGTCAGTAAATGGATCAAGATAATTTTGCTTAGCATTATCAAGTGGTCCTAAATTGCACGGCTGGTGTCAGTTAAATTCCATTCCATTAAATTAAAGATCCAATTCATTATATTTCTATAGGCCTATAAGAATTGATCAAGTACGCTATTTCACTGAATTACGCTATCATTTATTTCCAGAACTGACCGAAATTAAAATGCAATGGACCAAAACCCTATTTTGTTGCTTTAGCCTGGTAGTTGCTGCAACCATGGTCCCCCAAAAAGCAGGGGGAAAGACTGGAGTGGAGTTGACTGGAGAAACCCAAACTGGCTCAGTTTCAAACGCCTATTCAGATGGGATTTATCCACGCCAGGGCGATCAGGGGGATGAACCAGTAATTAAACCCCAAAAGCAATCATCCCCTTAGCCTTTTCAACGTCTTGTCACTGGTCAAAGATACTTTGCACATAAAGGAAAGTGCGGACAGTGAGACAGTTTAGAGCAATAATCTAGGCCCCTCAAACTCAAACCTGGACCTCGAAACCAGTTCCACTGCATCATCAATGACTTATTTAGACCTGGGACACCAGGTGTGTGCAATTAATTATCAGGTAGAACAGAAAACCAGCAAGCTCCGGACCTCTTAGGGTAAGAGTTGAGTACCTCTGATCTAGGCTGTGAGTAGATAACCAGCACGTCCTAAACTAGTTTTACGTCTATTTCTCCAATAAATTACACGTTTATGGACAAATACACATTGAAATGTCAGGTAGCCTGTAAGCCTATAGCTACATTAAAATGACATTCTTGACAACAATTCTTGACAACAAGCAGTTTAGATTTGTAACGGATTTATTTTACCGTTATTCACGATTAATTTCCCTGGGATATGACAATATGTAATGTAACATCGTCAAAAACCAAAACGTGCACCCAGGGGGGCCCTAGGACCGAGTTTGGGAAACCCTGGTCAACTGAATAAAATGTGTCGGAAGATTTAGTCATTAGGCCTTTACAGTACGTTAAATAGATGTACATAATCTAACCTAAAGGAAAACACTATGAAAGTTGGATATGTCCTCGCCAGAAAAACCTTTTCAGAGTTGAGACCAGTGTGCCGCACAGTTTTCACCAACAGCTTTCCAGACTAAATAGGAAGTAGTCAGTAGCCTAACCTTTATCCGCATCCTCGGGGACCCCCTTAGTGTTTTCTCCCTCCGTTTGTTTTTCAAAGGCCAACAGGAAGCAGCAGGATCCCGTATGACCCCTGCATTGTTACAGAGCAGATATCACAGCCATTCAATGGAGCACATCTGTGTGCTGCTGATCTGGGGCTATGATCTGTGAGCTGCAGCCAACGCTATAGCGTTCATTCACAAATCCCTCTGACCCTCTAGCGTATAACCCTTTCTGAAGGGAAGATAAACCAAGTAGAAGATACATTTACCCGAATATTTTGGCTGGGCTAGGAGAGCTAGGATGGGAGTAACGGAAATGGGCATCAGGTAGGCCTAATAAAAATGGCTGGAGATGATTCAGTTAAAACAGGCTAGACTAGAATTATTGGACTCATTAGGCAATATTTTTCCAACTGTTTAGGCTATGTCATGATGCAGATTTTTTTTGATTGAGTTGAATAATTACATTTAATAATAATAGGCTATACAGAAAAGTGTTTTAGGAAAAGGTGCATATAGGTTGGTTGAACTGCGATGTTTTAAATATGAGCAATTCATTATAATTTAGACAAAAATACGAGTTGGCCTAAGACCAACTCCGTAAAGGGACGGATTGAACATTTGCAATCAATAGCCTACGCCTATTTCAAGGGCTAGTATTCACGTCTATGCACATTCGTTCATCTTTGAACTTCAGTTGCAATATTAGGTTATATAAGACAAGGTTATGCATGCAATTCCTAAATGCAATGACATTATTATAAGCTAACTAAATTACACAATAAAAGAATAGTCACCATTTCAGTAGGCTATCGAATCTGCATGAGCTTAATGTAAAATAAACATTACACCCTTGTTGTGGTTTATTAATTAGCTAAAGTTACTGCTCAAACGTGAGGTAAGTATTTTGACTTTTGACTGTATATCCTCTGGAATGCGGATAAATAAAATACAGGCTCAACAAAACCCATCTGACATCTGCTTGGACCTCTGACAACTTCAAGCTGTCTTTTCGATTACAGGCTCCAACTTCACCAATGAGTTCTGGTAAATTTGCAAATACGCATTGCAGAACAGCGTAAATCATTTCAAATAACGTCAACACATCTGCGGCAGTTTCAATTGGACCATGGCTGCAGTATTGCAAAAAAAAGTTTTTCAGCCATATGGAATTGGAATATCAACGTTTGCTTCGTCACATGTAGCCTATACGCACACCTCACTGCCCATGATAAAAGCAAAGCATGTTGTCCTTTAAGTGCTATAGGCATATTAATGTTGCATTTAATGTTTGGTGCAGGTGCACTTTGTTTTAGACCTTAACAATCAATATGACATCAATATGATATGCAAAAATAGGCACAATAACCTGTATCACGACAAAAATACCCTAAACAAAACGAATCACAAATGTATTGAGACACTAGGTCTACAAAAACAATAGGCCTATATTTTGCTGAATTCAATTTTTTTTTGGGGGGGGATATAAATTATTCAAAAACCTTTTATGAGTTAATACAGCAGTATAACGCAAGGGTTTGACCATATTTCATAATAAACACATTATTTTTTTCCATCTGTTTTTGTTAGATCTATATGCAAAGGTTTTGTATTCCTGATGTATATATAACCCCGTAACCTCTACATCCATCTATTAGGACAATGACAAAGGGAAAGGGAAAATAGATCAGCTCAATCCAACTCAATATTCTCAAACAAAAGCCAGTTTTGGACATTTAATATTTTATAAGGAGCAGTCCAAAACATGGATTTTCTTATTAGTTGGGCTTACAATCACTCCCATCAAAACATGACAGCCTCAGGTCATCATTATCAATAGGCTATTCTCGTGCATTATTTTTGTACAGTAATCTTTTGCGAATCGTTGATAACATTTGGAGTAACTTCTGTCTTCTACACCCCCAACTATAGGCCAACATTAAACACAAAATAATGACTTCAGGCATACGGCCTATCACAACAATAGGCTACATCGAGATTTTTTTGGTGATGCCATAGGCAATGGCTATCAAAAATAGAAAATAACGATGTGCTCAATATGGCTGTACTACTATAACCTACTGCACACCTATAGTGCACCAATCTTGGAGCGCAAGATGCGCGCGTGTTGAACGGAGTTCATTTCGCTCAGCAATATGACGAAATGACTCACTTCGATTGTAGGCATATACGACAGTCAGAAAGGATATAGGCCCAGTGCGACTTTTGCAAATAATCATAAGATACAGTTATTTGGCCATAAAGGATTTTGGCTTGTCTTTAAAAAATTATAACAGACATTGCTGAAACAAAATGTGCATCCCACTTAAGAGAGAACGCATATGCCTATGTGGGCTAGCCTAAGCTATGCTACTCAGTAAAATATCTCTCCACAATCCATGAATGAGCATTTATGAGTATTCATTAGCCTATTGGCTGCATTTTACCGAAAGACTGGGCCTGAGGACATCACCCATAGGCTTAGGCCACTGAGAGAAGACTAGTCTTCTATTCTTCACTGCAACATGTGAAATCACAGCAGTTTGTTGCATCGCCAATATTTAAAGCGCCACTGTCCTTTTTAAGCGCAACCATATTTTGGTTCATGAATGGACTAAAGACCAAACAGATAGTCAGCATTCACTAGGGCAACAATCTTTAAGTAGAATTGCAGCCAATCAGTTACATTTTATGATAAAAACTACAGACTACATTACCCATGACCTATAGTGGTTAGTTCCTAATATTGGATAACCAGAGACCAACGACGGATGACTATTATGCACCATCTTTGATTAGGCAACTTTGACACAATAGGCGAATATGAAATTGCATTCCCATATAATTTGACTAATAGGACTACTTCAAGTGCAATAGCCGAATAAACGAGGAGCCTAGCAAGTGAACCACCCATCGTGTGCCCCTAGCCGGGAAACATCATTGGGAACTTATTCGGTAATGTTGGGGACTGCTAAAGCATTTAGTGAGTGCTGGCTCATCCCTATATGTTTGGTAATCGTCGCCATTAATATGATGCAACTATTTTAAATTCGAAAAACATAGGCCTATTTGAGGTTTCACCCCCCTCCCCCATTTGGGGATACCCCTTTTCATGGGCATGCCTAGCGCGCATTGAACCGAGAAACCAACGAAATGTGGTGATTTCTCTATAGCCTTACTTTGGTTTTGATTATTTAAAAAACTACCTGGGATGGCTCACTGAATCGGAAATAGTGTCCTACTTGTTTATGGTTTTTTAATACTACAGCTTTGGGAATTGGGTGATGAGTAGAGGTGCTGTCAAGTGTAGAGTCATCGGTCATGTGGTAACATTTCAGGAACTCTATTGGTCCAAGGAACGTGTCTTGGATAGCGGACTGCAACGTCACTGAGAGACTCGTAGCCTATTAAAAATAAGAACCAAAATCCATAGTGAAAGTATTTCAGGAGCAGTTAGCGCCTCTTTATCTACTCGTAGTTTAGTAGTTGAAGCATTAATATTGGATTGGTTCTGAAAGGGAACCACTACAACTCAGCGTTCTATATGGTAGGCTACTTTCTCAACAAATATATCAATCATAGCCAGGCGGAGAAATACATTTTAAAGTATGTTTTTTCTTTGTGAAAAAGGCAAGAGGCGGATTTTCAGTACTCCCAAAACTAGATACTGAAAAAAACTGAAATCGTTTTTATTCCCTATTCCGTTTTATTGAAAAACGTAGTGGACGAGGAATAATCTAGAACCCTCATTAATCTATATATATATACTTTTGTGTGGGAGAGCGAGAAAGGTGCAAGAATTGGACATTGAGTATTTCACTATGGAAGAAAATTATAATGGCAATAGAGAGCATCAAGATTCGGGCGAAGAGTCCAACAGAGCTATTCTTCCTCTTCTCCAAGCACCTGGGAACCAGCAACCGCACCGGACCACCAACTTTTATATTGATAATATTTTACGACCAGACTTTGGACGGAGGAAAGATGGGACTTTTCATTATGATGAGAATCCCCTCAATGGACGAGAGAATAGTCCTGTCCTTCCCCAAAAATCTGGGCATTTAGGTGGGACGGTGTCAGGGGAAGGAACTTCGAATTCTCGTTCAGTCAGTGAGCCCAAAAAAGCAGATATTGTTGCAGATACGCTTCTCAAGCCCGGAGGAGAAATTGGAGATCAGTGCCTGAGCTCCGACTCGGAAAGTTCTCAAGCCAATTCTGCACCTTCGTCGAAACCTATGCTCTGGCCAGCCTGGGTGTATTGTACAAGATATTCGGACCGACCATCATCAGGTAAAGTCTAGTATTTTTCGTGCCTTAGTATTTAGTAAGAATATGAATACCATTAGACATTGGATCGCTTGAGCGCAATATAAACTGACTCAGTGAACTAAATAAGTCGAAATATTAACCTGAAACCACATCCTGCAGGCACATAATACAAACATTTAAAGTATCCCTTTGTGTAGCCTATTTTCAATGCTTTGTCCTGAACTTTTGGGAAATGTATAAAATAATATTTGAAAAAAAAAATTGCTTGCCAAATAGTGAATAATATTCCGAATGTATCCATAACTACAGAAGACCTCGATTACCCTAGGATATATATTAGGCTACTACAAGTCAATGTTATTTTTACTGTTAGCCTATTATAAGTCTATTATCACCATACAAATATTTGGCTAGTAATGCAATTATTATCAAGCTGACAATTCCAGTTGAATTATAAAGAGAGAAAAAAAGAAAAGGAAGAAGATAAAATAGAAGTAAATACTTTTTGGATAAAAAAAGGTTCTAAGTATTAAAAATATCGAAGTAGTAAAGTTTGTAAGTAACTTTTAAAGCAGTATTGAAACGTTTACGCCATTGTTCCTCAGTAGTCTTTGGAAAAATTTATAATTAGCATTTTTGTTTACAATGGGGCGAGGCAAAAAGTGTATTTCGTCCACATGCAATATGAGATTCGTGCAATCAGACTTTTAGAGTGCAAAGTTTGGAGGAAAAAAATGGACCGATATTAGGAATAAAAACGTGTGTCGCTACTTTTTACTTCTCTCCTCTGATATATTTAGCCTGTAGTTTTCATAATATTCTCAAACTATTCTCATATTAGGATATTAGGTCTAGGCCTGGCATAAACGCTTACTGCTGCAGGTTGTGATTATTAATGTCAATCTTCCATTATGGCCTATAGCCAAATGTTTGTTTTATTTGTATTTTTTTCTTCATATAATGTCGAAGTAAATAGCCTACACTTCAGAAGTGTATCAAAGTAACAATTATAGAAGTTGGGCATTTTAATTTAATTTCTAGTTAACATCGTTTAAACTTAGTACATTGTTATATTGGACTATCCATTCAGCTTTAGAAGCACTAACATAAAGTTAATAGTGATAATATCCCATTGTCGTATAACATGTAGTCTATAGGCCCTATATTATGCATAATGGAATGAATACATTAACTTCTCCGAACAATTCAAAGATAGTAGCCTAACAAAATAAAGTTTCATTAGGCTACTAAACAAAAAACGTTCCCACTGTGTTTTATGTTGGTATTAATAGGCGTGCATGTCACGACATAAAAGGAATAAAAACCTTCATTCCAGAAAACCGATGGTATTTTGCAGTACGAAAAAAATATGATATGATGGGCCAATTGATTATAATAATATTCAAACGCTATATTGTGAAGCCAATAAACGTGTAGCTGCGAATTGATCTCTTATTTGATGTAGAACTAGCCTACTCAAAAACAGCTGAGTTTCAATAAATGTTTACGATATTCATTACACATTTATGAAAATGCAAGCTTATAAATGTAGTTCCTATGGTAACAGTGAGAAAGGGGCGCCTAGACTGCCTCCCTCTAACTCCACCCCAATCAACACCATCATCGTCTACTATGCACACAAAACCCCGCACCCTTTTAGAATAGGCTACTCTAAATTCTAATACAATTCAGGCCTATAGCTTATTGTGACTATATTGGAACTTTGGCTAATATTAAAACCAACACAATACTTATTCTACTAGCCTGCTACTAAAGGCCCATAGGACCTACTAGGCCTACTGCTACCCTACTACTAGGCCCATTCTTGCATGTTACTAGGTTCTGATGATCATCATATTAATTAGTCTGGCATTAGTGAACAAGTTATTGAGGACGTTGAAGGTCTACTTTTTTTTAGTTTCAAAGTCTGATCATTGAATGTATTCTAATCTACAGGGCCAAGATCTCGAAAACCAAAGAAGTCGACCACCGCCACGACAACAACGACGATGACACCAAGCAAGGATGACAAGCGTCCGAGAACGGCCTTCACAGCAGAACAGCTCCAGAGACTAAAAACGGAGTTTCAGACTAATCGTTACCTGACCGAACAGAGAAGACAAAGTCTGGCACAAGAACTGGGCCTCAACGAATCTCAAATTAAAATCTGGTTTCAAAACAAGAGGGCCAAAATAAAGAAGGCTACCGGAAATAAAAACTCTTTAGCCTTGCACCTAATGGCACAGGGACTTTACAATCATGCCACATCATCTAAGGATGAAAAATCAGACAGCGATTGAAGAAAAATATACAATGCAATAAATAACTTTAAAGGGCCAGTGTACATAATACCAGCAAATATTTAAACATGAATGAGACAGGATTTTGCTATATTCTGTAGCCTATATACAGTATATAGGGGCTAAACCATTTTGTGTTATAACACTTTGCCATTTACTCCCTGGAACTTTAGAATGCTTCATCATCATTAAAGTGTTTTTTTTTGTTTAGTTTTTTATTGGTAGGCCTACTTGACTTTGTGGACACATTTAACCGAAATAATGCTGAAGTCCAAAGATTTTTTTCTGCTGCATTTTGCAAACTGTGAATTTAAATAGCCTAAATTGTGTTCATCTATGATTTTACATTTTTTATCACACTGTTTCGTTGTATTTTTATGTTTATGTTGAAAATATGTTTTCTGAGGGTTCCTTTGTTTTGTTTAAAAATACAGCCTTTCTGAGTTGATATGGAGGGAACCATACGCATTGAATTATGCATTTTTATATTCGAATTAAAGTTCTGCCTTAACTAGGCTATAGTTATCTCGTGAGCATTACATATTAATTATTTCATCAAAATAATTCAGCTTTGGGTAGGCCTAGACTACATGTAGGCTATTGATATGAGACTGAGATTTGATCAAAATAACTAATATATTCAATAGGCCTATAAGTTACTTTAAACTTGACCCAAACTATAGAAATGAGTTGAGGCATAAAAGTAATGTAGCCTAACTTAACTTTCACTAAAAGGACCTCTGTTGAAATAGATAGCATATGGTAAGAAAAACAAAACAGTATTTTATAAACCTAAATATTTGTCTGGTATGCAAGCGCATAACACCAACTTTCTTGCAAGTCTTCCATTGGTTAACAATTTTATGATGCACCCCTAAGTTCAAGTCATGTGCGCTTAGCTCCTATCCAAGGGGTTTTAAAATTGGGAGGAGTTGTGGATGTCAACAATTGGAAATGAACGGATATCCATTTGAAATGACCATGGAAATGAAACCGTTTTGGGTCAGTTCCACTACCAACAAAATCCAATTTAACCCCGGCTCAAATCAGGATTTCAGTGCCAAGTGAGGCCTACGGACTATATGTCTTCATTTCAATCATTATAATCTCATGAAAAACTTCAGGGATGAAGTAACGTCAATGGGCGGCATATATTAGGTTTACTTCACAAATAATGTAGGCTATAGGTGCGGTAAAGAGGTCAATCGAACTCGACCAAAACACTGGAATTGCCATGAAAATGCGTGGGGGAAAGGGCCGTGGGGGAAAGATCCCGAGTCTCCTCATTTCCCCCCCAGTAAAATTAGCCCACATTTAGGCTATTGTTTATATGTGTATTTCACACTATGTTGAGGTAAAACTCGGGAGTATAATGCTTGTATGGATGTCAACCCCAACACATGTTCATGTCATCGTTACCAATCAATTACATTACAGTTAAAAACGAATTTGACTACCACCACCGATTTCTGTACGCTATCTATGCTAACCAGTTTATACGAACAGGAGTTAGCGTTTAGAAGTCACTTCTTCTAAACATGAAACTTCTACATGTTATGCAGCGAAAACAGCAAAATATATCAAAATCGGATTTAAGTAACCACATTGTGGGCCTGTGACAATACATGATGGATTTAAAGAATATCCACTTTGTTAGATCAGATTTGTTGAATGTGCGCCAATCGGATCAATGGAGTGTCTGCGTTCCATTGAATCCTTTACCGCATCTAGCTATATCAAATAGTCCATGCGTTCCATAGTATGAAATACATTTTATTATTTGCAAATAACATAGCATTCATATTTATAAACAATACTCATAGTCTAAGTGGTCATGTTTCTCGAAAAGAGGTTCTGGAATGTTTACATAACTTATTTATCTTGCAATACCTTCTTTTTGTGAATGAAACGTTTAGAGGCCTTTGCATGAAAGCTGCAATCTGTCACCTGTATATCATGTGAGACAAAAGTTGCTGTATCCATACCAAATTGTGGTCTTATGATGTGAATGATCTTTCATTGTCAATCTTAAAAGTGTGTGTAAATTAAAATCCAAACATAAAACACACTTTGCCTTAAAAGTTCTGTAAATGAACTTTTCTATGAGTACTGTGCTACAAAGAAATAACACATTACATGTTTATCAGGAATGGGCTATTGCCATTACAGATGGTATACAACGTGAATTTACAACATAATGTTGAAACATGTCTAAAGAAGGACAAGGTTTTTTTTTTTCTCCAGTATTCTTTGATATGAGACAAATGGAAATAATTTGTATCATAACTGTAGTTAACAATAAGCAAATAAACCACAAGAATACTATCACAATTTTAAATCCTTTATTTTATATTGTGCTTATAAACAATAAACAACATCAATAATCAATAATCAGTGCTCTAAAAATACAGGCTGACTAATAACCTGTTAATTCAGAAACACCCACTCTGGGAATCATTGCTGAGGCATAACTGTGATATGGCCAAGCCACATGTGTGTTGAAACAAGGTAATAACAATTTGCATAACAATTACTGGCCTGTCTTGAAGGTTAATGAGACCACAAGGAGAATTTCATCCTGCTAAACAGTACAGAACAAAATGTGGGCAATAGTGCAACTTCAAAATATTGTCCTCTAATAGGCAGTTGGTGAGTTTATGGAATACACTATGATGCAAGTTCATTTCCTTGATACAAGGCCTGCCCCATGCCTCTTTCTGGATGGGCGAGCTCTCAATAGACATATGTGGACTTGTTTTCTCATACAGAGTAAACTACATTGTGTAATTGGCTATTTGCAGGTGGTCCTCAGCTAAATAAACCTAAAGAAGAATACATTATTTAATGCATTAAAATGGTGATACTTTATTTTAGTCTGCAATTAAAGTGGTGTTTACATAGACATTACATAGGGGGCCAATATGAAAAATGTATGCACTCACTAATTGGAAGTCGCTCTGGATAAGAGCATCTGCTAAATGACTAAAATGTAAAATGTAAAATGCAAATGCTAGTAATGGCCTACTGTAATAGGCCTACTTGCAGAGTTCAATTACTTTAAAAAAGTTTCATTGTTCAAAGTGAACTATGACCAGAATTCAATCGAACATGGTATATAGAGAAAGTATCTTGTGCCAGGAAAAGCATTTTCCCCCAATGACAATAGAAAAGATGACTGTTGGTTTCACCAGGCAAACAGTCTAAAATGTATTTACTAAATGCAAACTACTACTGAAATGTTGACCACAAAAAAAGTTACATATGAACTTGCACCAACGTGCACCATGATGTTATACACAGTCTAAGTGATATGCAGCATAGTATACCTCATTTTAGTTTAACAATTGAGTAGTGGTCGGGTGACCACTCCACAAGCCATAGCGAAGTCAAAATACAGGTTTCCATTTCTCAAGTCAACGGTGCACTATGCTGAATGTAAGTCACCTATACTTAGTCATGAATAGAGTTTAGGAGCCTAACATGAAGACCCAGCATCTCAAAAGCAAAATGTAGTAAAGTTGTACACATTATTTCTGTATCCCAGAAATTGATTAAATGTGCAAGAACTCTAAGGATCTCAAAGTGTTGTAGGAATCCCATGACAGCAATTTCACTCAGTATTCCACTCAGTTGCTATAAATAACATTTACCTTGAAATAATTTGCTCTGTCAAACATATCCACAACAGATAAAAGTGGGAATTAAAAGCTTATGGAAACATTAAAACTAGTAGGTTCAATAGAATACATATCCTCATTAATGAACCTTTTGAGACTTTTCTGCATTGTTTGGAAACAGAGAAGTTAATAACCCAGAATGTTGAGAGCTATCCCATTCCCAGTTTCTGCCTGTAACGGAGTCTCTTATCAACAACATCAATTTCCTCTCACATACATCAACCAAGTAAGGTTGACCAAATCCAGATCACAATGACACCTCTTCAATATGATCATAATACAGTATACTCATGTTAATTTCAAAACTGCCATACATAACCAATCAATTCAAACGCAATCAAATATGGCTGAACTTCAGTCACCAATACAGGTTACAACATTCTGCGGTCTCAGTATTACCTGATGCTCTTAAACATGTATAGAAAGCCACAAAAAAAACTGAAAAGGATCCAAACACAAAAGGGAGAGTTATCTGTGCGGACCATTTGCAGCATTGACCTGCTCCTCAATGCCACAGAACCTCATCTGCATTTCTATTCTTGCCCAGCTTGTATGTGGAAGTAACGCCCAACGGTCACTGACTTGATGAGCTCTCTGGGTTGAGAAAAGCTGGTGCCTCTCAGACGCTGAGCTGAGCAACTCGGTTGGTTCCTCAATGGAGTCTGTGGCTGGGAGACACAGATGAAGGTCAAAGCCCTCGGTCACAGCTGCAGGTGGCTCATTTCCTTTAACCCATCCATCACTTCTTCTACACATCGGAATTCAAAATGTCCCTAAAAAGGAATCTCATAAAAGTATGTACATTTCACAAAAGAAAAAGTCCATCCTCAATAAGCTTGTACCTCAACTCTCGATAACAGTGATGCATATCTTTTGAGCACCCCAAAAATATGAGGGGGCACAAATTACGCTAGCCCCTCCCCACCCCGGTCCTCACCCCAGTCCATAAAAATTGGAGAATTTAGCAATAAAAAAAATACCTGAAACAGATTTTTCCTGCAATCTAGAGCCATAATCATTCTGCTTAATTCTACAGATGTAGATGTTTGATCACTCTTTTGGTTGCAGAGAATTTTCCTGCACAGCAGTAAATGCAAAATTGTAGTGTATTTGAAGTTTAAAAAGGCTTCTAAAGTTTGTAATTTCCACTTTAAAAATGTCAGAATTGATTATGAAAAATGCATTAACCCCTACAAATTTTTTTTCCATTAATTATAATCCACATAATTCACATTTCCTGTTACTGCCGGATTATTTTCCTGCTGTAGCAAACTGGCTCAAATTAAGATATGTCAAAAAGGTGTATTTTTCTGTATCCTCCTGACTGGTGGTTCAATTTCTTTGTAGAATTAAATATGCTTCTCTGCATCTCTGCAAAAATGTGGGTAAAATATTGAAAGGAATGTGAGTCTTATTCAGTACATTTAGATATTGCTTGCTTTTCTAAAGTCTACCAACCTTGCCAGCAGGTATGCCAGCTAAGATAGTTAGACAAGCTAGCTATTCTAACTTGATTGATAGCCTGAAATGGCTTCTTGGTAGCTAGTTATGAGTTTGGGAACCTAGATGTTTTAGCTAAAGCCAACTTCATAAAATTGCTAGGTGGCTAGTAGTATTACAGAGAATAATTTGATTGCATTTTTCTCCCCAACAGGACAAATCTGAGGGGGCACGTGCCCCTGTGCCCCCTATTGGCATGACGCCTCTGTTTTTGAGCATTAAGAACACAAGTGGTCAAATCATTTCTGAATGAGATGGTCTTCTTGGACTATTGAAATTACATTTGAGAAATTGTTTATCATATAGTCCTTATTACCTGTGTGAGGGTTGCATTTCCTCAGAGAAACCCCCTCCAGGAGTCCACTCAGCATATTGCAAAGGAACTAACGTGTAGGAAATTTGCATTTAGTGGTCAAGTTTGTCCTGCCACTTTGAGCCCCTTGCCAACAGCACCTTGGTAACCCTTGATCTGTCATGAGGTTAAGCTCAAGCGCTATACATCCAGAGACCGCTAAACACACACAAAGAAAAACGGACACTTTCTTAAACCAGAATAAACTCCCAAAACACAATTTCTAGGAAATTGCAACAAGTTGAAGACTTTTGTTTTGGGAGATTGGGAACCTATATGCGCTAGCTAAAGCCAACTTCATAAAAGTGCTAGGTGGCTAGTAGTCTTAGAGAGAATACTTTTTCGAATTATTTTTTTCCTTCAACAGGACAAATCTGAGGGGGCACGTGCCCCTGTGCCTCCTATGGGCATGACGTTTCTGCTTTTGAGCATCAAGTACACAACAAGTAGTGTAGTCACGAGACTTTAAAAAAGGTCCACAGACAAAGAAATTAGTTATCATGAATTCACAAATCCCGTGCCATAAAATTTTGCCTCTTCCAATTGGCAGAGGCAAAGTGGTCTCAAAAAGAAAATACATATCAGAAAAGTATTAGATGCCTCGTGTGGCTCTCAAAACAAAACAAAAAGACCCATCCTGTCCCTTCCCCCACAGAGTTATTCATCCATAGTTTTTAAATGCTTCCTAGTCAAACTTGAATATGGAATGAAGAGCTAGGGCTTTGTGGCGGAAATATAATTAAGCTGGTGAAAGATGTATATGGTGAAGAATGGGGATGACATCAGGCCAATTTCACACTTGGCACTTGGATGGCCGGGCCCAAGCTAGGCTCTTGCCACGCAACACAGATCAAAGCACACTGCCACTCCCAAAAAGGCAAAAGAGGACTTAAGTATGCTAATCTCCAGGACAAATATATTTTAATCTTGTTAGAATACAAGTTAATGCCGCAGCTCAGTGACTGAACTTTATAGAGACTAAGGGAAATATTCACTTTCCCAACATTTCTGAATGAGATGGTCTTCCTGGACCATTAAAATTACATTTGAGAAATTGTACAAATAGTTTATCATATAGTCCTCATTACCTGGTGTGAGAGTTGCATTTCATCTGAGAAACCCCCTCAAGGAGCCCACTCAGAATACTGCAAAGGAACTAACATGCGTAAAAATGAGCATTTAGTGGTCCAGTTTGTCCTGCCACTTTGAGCCCCTTGCCAACAGCACCTTGGTAACCCTTGATCTGTCATGAAGTTAAGCTCAAGCCCTAGACATCCAGAGACAGCTATACACACAAAGAAAAGCTGACACTTTCTTAAACCAGAATAAACTCCCAACACACCATTTCTAGTTGAATACTTTTGTTTTGAAATAACTGGAAGTTCAGTATGGGGAAAATGCTGTAATTCCTGATGGTAATGAAAATGATATATTGTATCCTGTTTGTATTCAACTTGTCTGGTTCATAGGGTTTCATTTCAGTCACAGTGAAAATTTGTTGCATACAAAGCTTGACCCATGCATTGTTCTTTGTTCCTTAGCCAAAGGAGGTTTGAAATGTTTTTTTGAAAACTGACCCAAATATTTCCACAAAGTGTAGATACATTTTGTGTAAAACTGTCCAAAAACAATAAATAATTTCCCCCAAAATGAAAATATTTAGATCATAAACCCCCCAAAAAACTTGTGATTATTTGTCATTATTCGATGAAGTTGTGAGGGTCATTATATGAAAATGGAACAACATTGTCCATGAAGTTTTGCATTTTCCTGGCATATATAGCACAAAGAAATCTCATCTGGAGGAAGTGTTCAATCTGTAGGTGAATTTACAACCTGTGTGCTCTGAGATATGAGTGTTATCACAATTTGGATGATCATTTACTTGATTTAGGAACTTACAGACTCGTGTTATAGGGAGGTGGTCATATCAGGCCAATGTATAACTATCAAGGCTCTCATGTAGGTTTTTTCCCCCCACTGCAAACATTTTGTAACATTGCAAATTCACAGATAGAGGGAGATCCCTTTGGATACATGTTTCACATGTTCTGATCTAGAGCTGGGCAATATGGACAAAAATCCATCCATGAATTGCCTGAATTGATACAATAACGATAAATAGAATGATATGTTTATAACATTGTGCACCAGTTTATTTGTAACATTATTCTCTAAACTACTACTATTAGTTTGATTGTTGTAGGCATCAATTGTCCCACTAACAATCACCCATATTAGCAAACTTATTTCATTTCAAAACTTCACATTTCTCTAGTATAGGCTACTTATCGTAATGAATGATAAATCAGCAAAATGCCTGCGATAAGTGATTGTATGGTCGGTGTCGATAATTTTCGGTTTATCGTCCCAGGTCTATTCTGATCTATATCCTTAAAAATGGGTCATAACATCAAACGTATAGTTCAAACAAAGAAATACAAAAAAATACATCTAAAAATAAGATCAATCAACAGGGGTATTGTTGAAAAATAGTTGGATAAATTGTCATAACATTTGACATACTTCCCCATATTTCAGAGCACATAAAGGTTTAAAATGGAGATGACGGGACGTAAGGGGATTGCTCATTTCAAAATCAAGAATCAACTCCCTCCTCCAGGATACACGGTGCAATCAAATGCAACCTGCCATGCGGAAATCAACTATCTACAACGGTTGAATTCTGGACCAAGAACAGGTCTGTATAATCAACACATTTGGAATTCTATGACATTACAAACAACTCTTAAACTGATCAGCTGATGAAGGTGAAAGCAAAAAGAGGCAACATTGCTGATCCAGCTCATCTTGACATTGTCTGTAGGACGCCACGCCATCATTTTTGACATGGCTGCCTCCTCAGTCTCTCAAAGCTGAGTACAGCACATTCAAACTTTGCTTTTTATTTTTTACACCCATCTTATCATTATTTTAAGTGCCACTTCTTCCTCCTGCATGACACAGCATCAAGCTGGAAGTTAGGCCTACTAGGACTACCTAAAGAAACACACCTGACTTTCTATCTCATGATACAATTCCGTGTATCATTATTCCAGCATCTCAATTCAAAATAGAAAACTTTATTTAAAAGAATGCAACTTCATTGATACAATATCCTTTAAGCATTATATCTTCATTTGAAATATATCTCTAAACTGGTCCGATCACCCGCAGCAGAGACGCATGTAAAACTATAGTTCGTCACTCTGGAATTTGGTGCCTTTACAGTGATCTGAAAATGAAATATTGACAAAAATTAGTCCGCCATCTTCTCAGATGGCCTGCTGAAAATAACTATCAATATTTGCAGACATCCAGTAAGTGACACACAATTTACTACAATGACACTTGCAGAAAAACAAATTACATCATATTGACAAACATACGAGATAGGAGCGGTGGTTTCTATTCAGAAATTCTAAATAACTCATACTTCCATAGCACATTCAAACTATCGGCCTACGACCGATCTTGTTTAACAAAAATTACTATTTTGCTAATCTAATAGAGTATCAGTGTCATACAAGTCCACAACATCATCCTCCGAGACTCTATACCGGTTAAAAAACAAACTGTTAAAAATATCCTGTCTTCTGCTCAGAAATAGTACTTTGCCTGTTACGCTGCTCTGTTTCAGAACCCTCACTTAACAGGGTTGAAACAAAATGGCGGATCAAAGACGACAGTTACGTAAGGGGGAAATCATGACACTACAAATAGAGCTGTAATAAATGGTAGTTGTCTGGATGTATCCATTTTCATATTCTGTTTTAGGATGCATAATAAACAAAAGTGGTCATGTTTGTATTCCCTGGTAGGTACACACGGTACTCATCTAAACATGTTTGTATTCCCTGGTAGGTACACACGGTACTCATCTAAACATGTTTGTATTCCCTGGTAGGTACACACGGTACTCATCTAAACATGTTTGTATTCCCTGGTAGGTACACACGGTACTCATCTAAACATGTTTGTATTCCCTGGTAGGTACACACGGTACTCATCTAAACATGTTTGGGGTAGCGCCATAAAAAAACTGCGATATTAAAATGTTACGATAACCAAATTGAGTATTTGCATGGCATCTGTACTCTATCCTTTACAAAGATACAGATACTATTTTATGAACAAATAATCACTGCAAGTCATTTAAATAAATTCATATAAAAAAGCTTATCAAAACCCAATGGTGTTATACATTTGGGTAATGATGTGAGTAATAACATAGTTCTAGTTAGTATCTATGCAGTAAGGGGAAAACAGGAGGCCTGGTCAGTGAGAAACAACAAAATGTCTGAAACCGTACCTGATACTTCATTGCATAACTTGTCAACCACATGGTCTGTCTCTTTGGCAAAAAGAGAGATGATATCATCTTCAAATTCCTCCACAATGCTTTCACACTGTAACAGAAGACAGGGGATAGGTTACCACACAACAGACCGCACCACCAGGTCCTCCGCACATGAGAGGTTCACAAGCATGTAGTTTCACACAATAATGGGCACGGCAGTGAGTGAGACTGCCATTTGTCCTCTCGCCATGCTGTTCAGCCATCTTGGATGACTCATGTAACATAGATAGGCAACACGATTCCAAGGTGGCGATTCCACACACGCATCTTTGCGCATCATAAGATTTCTTGCATGTGGTGCCTAACTTGATCTTAAATATGTGCAAATTTACATGCAAGACCTCAAGATAATTGTAAAGGAACAAAGGAAAATACGTTATCGTCTGCATTTTGGGTTAAAATAATGTACAGCCCTGGCACGTATGCAGACTGAAAAACTTCAACACTGAATGTTACACTGTAATAACTGTAAAAATATATATAATTATAATAATGACAATTAAAAATGCAAGCTCTAATACACATATTTCCAGATTTCTTGTTCTCATTTCAATTGTGTCTTTCTATATTACAGACTATGGTGCATGCAATATACCTTAACAAAAAAGGTCATAAGTAAAGTGGAAAAACTATATCAATGTACGGTTTAAAGTTACGGCCACAATTATCAAGAATGTAACTGGATTTTCAGATAATAATAGCTGTGATATCAACAACCAAGGCATTACATTGAATTCTGTGCTTTCAAAATTAAATTGGGTTAACCGAGGTGAAGCTTCAACATAAGAAGCAGTTTCCCTCTGCAACCAATATCTCTATTCACTTTTGAAAGACTTTAAGTATATGGACATGCAGAACATAGGAAATAACTTAGCTACTTCACATACTAATCTGAATGTTGAAGTATGAAAGCATGACCTATAGCATAACTGAAAAAAAATATATATACATTAATATGTGAGTAAATTAATCAATTATTGCCAAACTAACCGCAAATTTTAGGGCATTGGATCCCTCTGGGCCATCAAACTTGAAATTATTAAAATCAGGAAAATCCCCGGCATCAGAACTTCTTGGAGCAAATCTTTTGTATTGCTTTTTCTTGGTGTCTGGGTCCACATGAAGAGCATAGTCACTCATGCTACCACAAACTCCATCCAGAAGCTCACTCAAGTTGGTCTCAGATCTAGCAAGAGGGACCTGGTGGATAAAAAGACACAAAAGTAGAAGGAAAAAATAAATAAATCAGGTTTTATATAAATTAAACTTAATTGAGTCCAGTTCTATGACGTTGCTTAGGATCCGTCTGGGTCATGTTGGTGACCCCTAACTACTATTCCTATCACACAAACAACCCTTACTTCCCCTATGATGGAACTATGACTTTTAACCTGTAGAAGTATACCCCTTCCCCTTGGAAACAGGACAAAACATGCAATAGTGTCTAGACAGGTCAAGGTGCACTATGCTCCCGCCCCCATGGCCTCCCCGGAAGGAGAGAGGGGAAAGGGTGACTGGGAGCAGTGAAAGGGCCGGGGAGGGGGGCTGAGTTAAGGAGCAGGGGGAGGCCTAAACAGCAGCCAAGTGCAGGGTAAACAGTTCAGTCTCATCCTTTGGTCTCTTTTGGTGGTTCATCTCCTCCACCCTCCAATGATCAAAGCAGGAAGTTCTCCTTGTCAATCCTGGTCAAAAGATGCTGGGCAAGGGGAAGGGGGGCATATTGCCGATGAACTGGATTTTGTGCAATGTAGATATATCCCTGACCCTATTGTCCCCTTTCAGCCTCAGTATGGACCCTTCCGGACCCACTGATTACATTACAGAAGCATTTCCCCCTCCTCCTTTTTTATATCTGACTCTTAGTGACACAAAGGGGCTTCCGTGGCTCACCGCCATCTGCTCACAAAAAAGATAAAAAGGTCTCAGGGAACTGCCTGAACCCTGCCACATATTTCTCTCCTTTTTCAATGTAAGGGGCAGGAAGCTAATTGAATGTACAGAGAGATAAATAGTTAACATTGAGGATGGTCTATCAAAGAAAACAAAGGTTTGACGACTTCAACATTAACGTTGAACTGTTAACTAATAAGTTATTGCAAAACAAAAAACAAACAAAGTGGAATATCAAATGTGCACTGCATTCAACCATTACAGCAATTATTTGTCCAAAAATGCAAACATGCAATTTTGCTATTCTTAATTTCTATATATATATATATATATATATTTTTTTTACACCATTGGTCTATTTTATGAACATGTATGACGAGATCTTGACTTAGTTGGTAAGAAACATCTACCTTAAATGTAAAAAAATATATATAAAAAAATAAAAATAGAACAAAACGTCCAGCATTAAAAAGCCCAACCTCAAGCAGAATCCTTATCAAGCAATCCTGAAAATGTTGTGGAATTAAATTCCTTCCTTACCAGTCTGAGGGGTTTGAAAGGGACCCGTCAATCACATATTTCCTGAAGAATGAGGAGGGGACTAGGCAGGCCTGGCAGAGAAAAGGCTTCTCAGGGATGCTATTCTCCATTGAATTCCCATTGGAAAAACATCCATTATCGTAACACTGAGGAAAGGGGCTTTCAATTTCTTGTGAGAATAATAGGGACCAATGAAAACACAAATAAATAAAAACTAGAACCTATTAAATGCCACTATTTACAACAATGTGTAATGTTACTATAGTCTTCAGAAAAGCGATTGCCACAGTATGTACACTACCGTTCAAAAGTTTGGGGTCACTTAGAAATGTCCTTGTTTTCAAAAGAAAAGCAATTTTTTTGTCCATTAAAATAACATCCAATTGATCAGAAATACAGTGTAGACATTGTTAAATGTTGTAAATGGCTATTGTAGCTGGAAACGGCTGATTTTTTTATGGAATATCTACATAGGTGTACAGAGGCCCATTATCAGCAACCATCAGTCCTGTGTTCCAATGGCACATTGTGTTTGCTAATCCAAGTTTATCATTTTAAAAGGCTAATTGATCATTAGAAAACCCTTTTGCAATTATGTTAGCACAGCTGAAAACTGTTGTGCTGATTAAAGAAGCAATAAAACTGGCCTTCTTTAGACTAGTTGAGTATCTGGAGCATCAGCAATTGTGGGTTCAATTACAGGATCAAAATGTCCAGAAACAAATAACTTTCTTCTGAAACTCATCAGTCTATTCTTGTTCTGAGAAATGAAGGCTATTCCATGCGAGAAATTGCCAAGAAACTGAAGATCTCGTACAACGCTGTGTACTACTCCCTGTGTAAGGACATGAGGGATACAATTGTAGACCTGCACAAGGCTGGGATGGGCTACAGGTCAATAGGCAAGCAGCTTGGTGAGAAGGCAACAACTGTTGGCGCAATTATTAGAAAATGGAAGAAGTTCAAGATGACGGTCAATCACCCTCGGTCTGGGGCTCCATGCAAGATCTCACCTCGTGGGGCATCAATGATCATGAGGAAGGTGAGGGATCAGCCCAGAACTACACGGCAGGACCTGGTCAATGACCTGAAGAGAGCTGGGACCACAGTCTCAAAGAAAACCATTAGTAACACACTACGCCGTCATGGATTAAAATCCTGCAGCGCACACAAGGTCCCCCTGCTCAAGCCAGCGCATGTCCAGGCCTGTCTGAAGTTTGCCAATGACCATCTGGATGATCCAGAGGAGGAATGGGAGGTCATGTGGTCTAATGAGACAAAAATAGAGCTTTTTGGTCTAAACTCCACTCGGCGTGTTTGGAGGAAGAAGAAGGATGCGTACAACCCCAAGAACACCATCCCAACCGTGAAGCATGGAGGTGGAAACATCATTCTTTGGGGATGCTTTTCTGCAAAGGGGACAGGACGACTGCACCATATTGAGGGGAGGTGTACCTATGATAAAAATTACAGACCTCTACATGCTTTGTAAGTAGGAAAACCTGCAAAATCAGCAGTGTATCAAATACTTGTTCTCCCCACTGTAGATATTCCTTTTTTTTTTTTTTATCAGCCATTTCCAGCTACAATAGCCATTTACAACATTAACAATGTCTACACTGTATTTCTGATCAATTTGATGTTATTTTAATGAACAAAAAAATTGCTTTTCTTTCGAAAACAAGGACATTTCTAAGTGATCCCAAACTTTTGAACGGTAGCATACCTTTATCATGACAATCTAGAAATGTAATTTAATTAAGAGTGACAGCAATGTTTTTCCATGGTCCAACCAGAATCATTAAAAGCTATTCATTGAGAATGAATACATTTAATAAAAACTCTATATATTTACAGAAAAAGGTAAGACAATAACTTCCATCAACTTATTAAGTTCAATGTCTTTGGCTTAATGATTCATTGTTGTAGTTTTAACATTGTGGTGTGAACCTTGCCTTCAGGGAGCCCCACTGGTTGCTGGAGAGCAAAGGAGATTTAAGACCAGCTAATCTCCTATGATGGAATCTAAGCTTGGACACCCCTCCCTCCTTGATTCAGACAGGGTCAAATGCCGGTGGGGTGGGGGAGGGTTTCTTGGATTTATGCTCAGAAGTCAAAACAAGCCATTGATTAGTGCAACAGGTAGGCCTACACTTCCATAGGGTAGTTGGTACAGAAGTTGATCAGCCATCACTGTCTGTTGGCCGTTTCACTTAAACGGCCAATCAGCAATTGAAACAATAACAAAGTGTTTTCCCCGCCTCTGTTTAAGTAAAAAGCTGAGGGATGGGGCTGGAGAAATGTAATCACTCAAATTCATAGACAAAGCTATGGATGCACGACCTGACCATCCATGATATCAAAATTATAGTTAACCATGTTGAGGATAAAGTGTGTTTAAATTTACTTTGTTTCTAAACATTGGAGTAAAACAAGCTTTTATTTGGGGTTCTGATAAGTTACGCCAGTTCAACTAAGCTCATGAGGCATTTTTATGTTATATTTTTCAAGAATCAAAATGGGTACATATCATTAATTTATAAGTCCAAAAATGGATGTAGCAACTGCTGATTGCCCCTTAAAAGGTCAGTGTGCTTACTGTTCAGAGCACAGTAATACCAAACGACTTAAGTCAATACTTAACTCTTCTCTTGCGAAAATTCATTTTGATTCAGTAATTATCGTTGAGCTATATCATTGCATTCATACGCTCTCTGTGGTCCTCTGTAGCTCAGCTGGTAGAGCACGGCGCTTGTAACGCCAAGGTAGTGGGTTCGATCCCCGGGACCACCCATACACAAAAAAAAATGTATGCACGCATGACTGTAAGTCGCTTTGGATAAAAGCGTCTGCTAAATGGCATATTATATTATTATTATTATTACTCTCTCTCTACTAACAACAACAGGGGTAATGCTGAGGCACACCCCCACAACTTGAGGGCAAAAGGAATGGAATATGAACAAGACTCACAGGGGTATAGGAACTGTAATTAGCATTTATTTTCAAACTAATCCTCTTTTAGAAAACACTTAATGAGAGTCTGTGAATATGACATACACAGCTGATCCATAGATTGAGCATAATGAACAGGAAGGAATGAGACAATCTGATGTCCAAAATTATTCTCATGTGTCAAGAGAAGATCAAGACAACTCAAATGTTTAATACCTTGCCTATGGAATGTTTGATTACATTCAAACCAATATGGAATGAGAGAACTGGAGTTGTCATATTAGAAAATATCATAATCCCTTTTACTTGAAAGTTAACTTGAAATGGCTACGGGGGAGATGAAAACATAAATCAGCCTAGCTAAATAAACACCACGTTATTAGATATCAATTACCACCAAAAAGGGATTAACCCCTGAGATCAATAGGTGAGCTGACCAGCTAATGACAGTCCCTGGACACTAGGGATATGTCACGAACACTACAAGGCCTGACCTCTTCACATTACAACAATGCTTGGTTAGGAAAAGAGGAAAATACAGTTGTTTGAATTTCCCCTACGTTCCAGAGAATTAACCAATAAGCAAGCTTCTGATTTAGGAAATGTAGGTGAAACACTGTAATAAAGCAGTTACCAATGCTTACAACGACACAAACTGAAATTATATTACATCCTGATCTTACTTTTCTTATTTTCTTCTGCCGGGATATTTCACAATACACTCAATTCCATTTCTCAAGGTACGAGATCCAGGAAATCGAGCCTCGTACTTACCAGACTGATTACCGATGCGCAGCGAACATTCATGTAAGCTCACGAGATCAGGTTGCTTGCGAGGCTACAGGAAACCAGGAACTACTTTAAAACCACTAGTCCTAGCCTATGTTTTGTCAAGTATTTTAAGTATAAATATGCATCTATCCCATCTCTAAATTCAGAAAATATTATATTTCCAGGAAGTTCAATCAATAGCCGTATGTGTACCATGAGATGTTTCACTTCAGTGGAGTGCACTTTGGAAACAAGCTTTTACTGAGGTAGCTACCTTTCTATCAGTCAGGCTCCCATCAGGGTTGAGTTTGAAGGCTCCCACATGGATGGTCTTCTTTGGATCAATCTGACTGATTGAATAATTGAGCTCATCAACAATAGCCCTGCATGCTAAAAGAAACAGATATTAGGTTAGTACAATATAGGTTAGGGATATATAGATCCATAGTATGCCCATAGGTAAAGAAAAGTAAAACTGCAATAAAATTAGTTAAAATGAAATAAGCTTGACAGACTGATGATTAACAGAATGACAGCAATATTGAGATACTACAGGGTGTACACTATAAAACAAAATAAAATAAGGAATTATGTTTACAGAACTGTTGATAAGACAACAGTATATAGATCAAAATATGATAACATGAAAACATTTTTTTACTAAAATGTTACTTTTACATTTAACAAAAGTCTTAATACTCACATAAGCATCAAAGGAAATGCAAAAACATGACTAGAGCCATGCAATACTATTTTGTATACTGAAATCACCTCATATGTCCACATTCCACACTCTCGATTCAGCTATCCATTACATTTTTTCAAGACCATTACAATTATTAAGTGTTACGATCAAGCAAAGCTCAATTCAATGAGTATATATGAAAACTGCCATACAAAAAGTGTAAAGCCTCATCTTTTTACAAGGTCCAAATAAAATGTATATAAATTATATCAACACCAAAGTAAATTAACCTATTAACCCTGAGAATTATACGTTAGATAGCATCCAGCCACTCTTTAATTCCAAATGGAGTCTTTGGTCGTTGTGTTTTTTTTAAATCAGACCTACAAAATGGGGGTAATGCTTCACTGAAAATTGTACAGTATTTTCATGCCAGATGTCAGACTGTATGCCTGGAGGGCTTCTAACAGCTCATAAAATGTCATTGATGCTATGATGCACAGTAGGCTACACTAATGGCGTACTGTGCTGAGAGTTTGCATTGGTAGCTTGACAAGTGTTACATGGTCATGCAAGGATGACTCCAAGGTTTGGTAAGACTGTAGTGTTGGTGTCGCTGTAGAGTTCAAAGAAAGAAAATGGCAATATGATGAGCTGCCTTTCACCAAGTTTAATTTGGCTTTGTAAAACAAAATTATTAAAAAACTATGTAATAGCTGAAAAAGTTCAATTATGAAAGTTTTCCATAGTGCTCCTTTTTTATTTTTAGATAAAGAACATTGTAATTTGTCTCTGTCCTTCGTACCCTTTTGAAATTCAACATAAATATTTTCAAACTGCACAAAAAACACTTCAAAATAGTTTTACAAATAAAATGATTGTCCAGAATTGTACGGGAAAATTGTGTTTAGCAAAGGTAAAAAACTAAACGGTTGATAATCAAGAAAACCATCAAATCTAGAATAGGAAAATGCTGCCTTGGCAGGTCAAATGATATGAAACGAGATTACAAGACATTCGTTTGATTGAGGCAACTTTCACAAAAGTTTATATTTTATGACAATACTTGTTCACTATGCAAATCTATACTCTGCATTGGCTATAAACAAGTACTGCATTTCATGTACATCCTGAAAACCCCATATCTAATAGGTAGAAAAGGACTAAGTGGACAGATAAACATCCCAATTTACCTGAACAATACAGCACCTTGTCTTTTTTCCCTTCAGTCGTTTCGATTAAGATACTCATTGCCATCAAGGCAACTTTTATAATCCATGCTGCCATATTCGTAGCCTGAGGGAAAGAGACATGTGTCAAGCACGCAAGCAAAGCCAATTCATTATACGAATACAAAAAAGGTATTTGCCATTCATCGCCTCCCACTATATAACAAGTAATATTCGGAAAATCAGGTTGGGAGGCAAATTACTGTAAATGTTGGATTACTAATTTATTTTTATTTATTTTTTAACAAATGTGTCTAGACATTTTAAAAAAAAGAATGTGTTGCGCTCCAAGAAGTTACACTCCATCTGTGAAGGGGTATAATGGTACAGAGATAGAGTGTAACTGGGTTTAACTTGGGCCACAAAACTGACTGCCTCTCCACAAGTGTGTCAGGGGTTGGCCACAAGTTGTGTCATGTTTAGACAAAATATTCAAAACAGAACTTAGTCTACAACTTCAAGCTGGTAAAAAGTAGGCTATTGAAAAACAGTGGCACCTGCAGAGAGTTGCCATGGATGTAAACAAACACTGAATATCAAATCAAATGTTATTTGTCACATGCGCCGAATACAACAGGTGTAGACATTACCGTGAAATGCTTACTTACAAGCCCTTAACCAAAAATGCAGTTAAGAAAATAGAGTTAAGAAAATATTTCAAATAAATAAATAAATAAATAAATAAATAACACAATAAAATAACAATAATGAGGCTATACACAGGGGGTACCAGCAGTGTAAAAACAAATGGAGGATGTTGTCCTGGCACCACACTGCCAGGTCTCTGACCTCCTCCCTATAGGCGGTCTCATCGTTGTCGGTGATCAGGCCTACCACCGTTGTGTCGTCAGCAAACTTAATGATGGTGTTGGAGTCGTGCTTGGCCACTCAGTCGTGGGTGAACAGGGTGTACAGGAGGGGACTAAGCATGCACCCCTGAGGGGCCCCCATGTTGAGGATCAGGGTGGCAGATGTGTTGTTGCCTACCCTTACCACCTGGGGGCGGCCCGTCAGGAAGTCCAGGATCCAGTTGCAGAGGAATGGTGTTGAAGACTGAGCTGTAGTCAATGAACAGCATTATCACATAGGTGTTCCTTTTGTCCAGGTGGGAAAGGGCAGTGTGGAGTGCGATTGGGATTGCGTCATCTGTGGATCTGTTGGGGTGGTATGCGAATTGGAGTGGGTCTAGGGTTTCCGGGATGATGGTGTTGATGTGAGCCATGACCAGCCTTTCAAAGCACTTCATGGCTACCGACGTGAGTGCTACGGGGCGGTAGTCGTCATTTATGCAGGTTACCTTAGCTTTCTTGGGCACAGGGACTATGGTGGTCTGCTTGAAACATGTAGGTATTACAGACTCGGTCAGGGACAGGTTGAAAATGTCAGTTTAGACACTTGCCAGTTGGTCCGCGCATGCTCTGTGTACACGTCCTGGTAATCCATCTGGCCCCCGCGGCCTTGTGAATGTTGACCTGTTTAAAAGGTCTTGCTCACATCGGCTACGGACACATCTGCTGCAATAGCCCATCCGTTACAAAGACCAACGAGTTGTGCGTTCCCAGATACCGTTCTGCCCACAACTGTTGTACTGCGCCGTTATTTGCCTGAATGTGGCCCACCTGTTAGCTTGCACGATTCTTGACATTCTCCTTTGACCTCTCATCAACAAGCTGTTTTCGCCCACAGGATTGCCGCTGACTGCATGTGTTTTGTATGTCGCACCATTCTCGGTAAACCTTAGACACTGTCAAGCATGAAAAGCCCTGGAGGCCAGCCGTTTCTGAGATACTGGAACCAGCGCACCTGGCACAGACGATCATACCAAGCTCAAAGTCGCTTAGGTCCTTCGTTTTGCCCATTCTAACATTTATTCAAACAGTAACTGAATGCCCCGATGCCTGTCTGCCTGCTTTATACAGTGGGGAGAACAAGTATTTGATACACTGCCGATTTTGCATGTTTTCCTACTTACAAAGCATGTAGAGGTCTGTAAGTTTTATCATAGGTACACTTCAACTGTGAGAGACGGAATCTAAAACAAAAATCCAGAAAATCACATTGTATGATTTTTAAGTAATTAATTTGCATTTTATTGCATGACATAAGTATTTGATACATCAGAAAAGCAGAACTTAATATTTCGTACAGAAACCTTTGTTTGCAATTACAGAGATCATACGTTTCCTGTAGGTCTTGACCAGGTTTGCACACACTGCAGCAGGGATTTTGGCCCACTCCTCCATACAGACCTTCTCCAGATCCTTCAGGTTTCGGGGCTGTCGCTGGGCAATACAGACTTTCAGCTCCCTCCAAAGATTTTCTATTGGGTTCAGGTCTGGAGACTGGCTAGGCCACTCCAGGACCTTGAGATGCTTCTTACGGAGCCACTCCTTAGTTGCCCTGGCTGTGTGTTTCGGGTCGTTGTCATGCTGGAAGACCCAGCCACGACCCATCTTCAATGATCTTACTGAGGGAAGGAGGTTGTTGCCCAAGATCTTGCGATACATGGCCCCATCCTTCCTCCCCTCAATACGGTGCAGTCATCCTGTCCCCTTTGCAGAAAAGCATCCCCAAAGAATGATGTTTCCACCTCCATGCGTCACAGTTGGGATGGTGTTCTTGGGGTTGTACTCATCCTTCTTCTTCCTCCAAGCACGGCGAGTGGAGTTTAGACCAAAAAGCTATATTTCTGTCTCATCAGACCACATGACCTTTTCCCATTCCTCCTCTGGATCATCCAGATGGTCATTGTCAAACTTCAGACGGGCCTGGACATGCGCTGGCTTGAGCAGGGGGACCTTGCGTGCGCTGCAGGATTTTAATCCATGACGACGTAGTGGTTTTCTTTGAGACTGTGGTCCCAGCTCTCTTCAGGTCATTGACCAGGTCCTGCCGTGTAGTTCTGGGCTGATCCCTCACCTTCCTCATGATCATTGATGCCCCACGAGATGAGATCTTGCATGGAGCCCCAGACAGAGGGTGATTGACCGTCATCTTGAACTTCTTCAATTTTCTAATAATTGCGCCAACAGTTGTTGCCTTCTCACCAAGCTGCTTGCCTATTGTCCTGTAGCCCATCCCAGCCTTGTGCAGGTCTACAATTTTATCCCTGATGTCCTTACACAGCTCTCTGGTCTTGGCCATTGTGGAGAGGTTGGAGTCTGTTTGATTGAGTGTGTGGACAGGTGTCTTTTATACAGGTAACGAGTTCAAACAGGTGCAGTTAATACAGGTAATGAGTGGAGAACAGGAGGGCTTCTTAAAGAAAAACTAACAGATCTGTGAGAGCCGGAATTCTTACTGGTTGGTAGGTGATCAAATACTTATGTCATGCAATAAAATGCAAATTAATTACTTAAAAATCATACAATGTGATTTTCTGGATTTTTGTTTTAGATTCCGTCTCTCACAGTTGAAGTGTACCTATGATAAAAATTACAGACCTCTAGATGCTTTGCAAGTAGGAAAACCTGCAAAATCGGCAGTGTATCAAATACTTGTTCTCCCCACTGTATAGCAAGCCACAGCCATGTGACTCACTGTCTGTAGGAGCGAACCATTTCCGTGAACGGTGTGGTGTACCTAATAAAGTGTATATTCAGCCTGACATTCATGTGAGCATTACAATATGATTACAACCCAAAAGTAATATGAAATGCACTCATAACTTAGCTATGACAACAATATACTTAGACTACTTTGCGTTTGCGTTTGTCTGGGCTTGCCAGCCAGCAGACCTGCACAAAACATTGCACCCTGGGAGTTGAAATGCACTCTGGGAATTGTAGTATGCTGTGTAAATTCCACTGTATTTCTATGCCGATGTGTAGACTATTGCAATATAGAACCTTCAGAAATTAGCTTAAGTGTTTTTTGTTTGTTTTGTGACTAAACTATTCATTTAATATATTAAATTATTTAGCTGTATTGAATAATGAATCATAGGTCTAATGAATGTTATTTGACCCAATATTATGGCCATAGGTTAGCAAATTAAACCTGATATGTATCAAATTACATTTTGAAACAGTTTAGATGTAATTGTAAAATTATTTTGACTGCTCTGAGTCTCAGATATGGTTTTGCATAGGGGAAATCGAAGATATTCTTTAGTGTATATATATATATTTTTTTTTTATAAATTGAATATTACATATTCTATTTGTTATTTTAGTTCTACCAGTTATCAACATGTTGTTCAATGTAATAAATAAAAAAATGAAGCCCAGTGGTTATTCTGTGACTTTAGGTAATCCGCTTTCTTTTTCTTTGCAGTGGTATCGTTTTGGTATTGAGTATCGTTTTGGCGAGTATCCTTTCGGTATCGAGTATCGTGATACTAAACCTGGTATCAGTATTGAAGTAAAAATTCTGGTATTGTGACAACACTACTCTCCGCCACATGGCAAAATGTGTAGAATTGTAGCAAACTTGCTTTAAACCTGCAACAATTTTTTGCCCGCACTACAAATGGCTATATCGGTCTGCTAAAACAGGACTAGTAAAGGCCCAGTGCACTAATGTAGTGGGAAAAAAATATTAGCACTTTTTAAACCCCTAAGGTCGATGTCCACACCCCAGCGGAAATCAAATTAGCATAATTTTAAAAATCCCCATAAAAATCTGTCAGTTTAAGCAATTTTTTTATTGGATCCGTCTCAATCCACCACATCCGCCTACGTAACACTTCTGCATCTGCGGTGAAAGGTGACAGAGCTAAAGTGGTGTTTGTCAGACCAAAAATCGGTCTTCTCACAAAATCGTCTGTAGTGTCCGAACGGTTTGGCCTACAAACTACTATGACCAATGTTCCCTCAAATTTTTTTCACCACTAAGCAAATTTCAGGTCTGCTGAGCGCAAACTTGAACGTTGTGAAAATTCTGTGCATCTTCCAGCGCGCGTTTACTGTGAACACTGAGACTGTACCCGTTTTAAGTTACAGTTTTAACAGTGGCCAAGTAGGCTATTTTATCATAATGTAGGCCTACCAGAGTGGCCTACCATCATAAACAGCCAATGTGTGGTGTTCAATGTAGACCTACATTCCATGGGACTTT